GTCAATAAATGTGGGTCTCATGTCTTAGAGGGACAGCAAAAAGCAAACAGGATGTGCCCCTACCTTCAAGAAGTTGCTGCCAATCTGCCTCAGAAGTCCAACTTGGGAATTGAGACTAAAGGGGAGTGAAAGCAGCCCTAGATGGGGCCTGAGGAAAGGGCCAGCTGTGACCAGGGAGGATGAGAGGAAGGACTGAGAACCGGGAGAGGCACAAGGCTGAGGCCAAGAGAACTCTTAATTAGCAAGGGGTCAATGCCAGCCAGTGTGCAGAGCCAGAAATGGTGTCTCTCAGAATGTGTGTGGGTGAAGGGGCAAGGGAGCTGGGTGCATAACTTGAAGCATTGGCTTGGTGACCTCAGTGAGGCCAGCACAGCAGGAGCTGGGGCCTCTGTGTGCCCTGTGTGGGTGAGTGTCATCTTAGATACAGCCTATCCTCAGTTACCTGGCTGTGCTGCAGCCTGCCCAGGCCAGGGCTTGGGGCTCAGGCCAGTTCCTCCTGCCCCCAGCCCTCCAGGCATCTTGGAGCTAATCAAAGGTTAGCCACCCTGAGCAATGGAAAATTCTCAATGTGCCAGACACTTTATATGTGATGTCTGTGCTCCTGTTATTTTAAGAATGCCCTGGGAGGTAGGTTTTGTTGCACCTACTTTAGGATAAGGAAATCAAGGTTCACAGAGGTGAAGGGATTTGTCCAAGGTCACAGACGTGACTTAGCTTGGATTTGAACCCAAGTCTGCTTTCCAAACCCCAATCTTTCTTTTCATTTTTTTTTTTTTTTTTTTTGAGACAGAATCTCACTCTGTCACCCAGGCTGGAGTGCAGTGGCGTGATCTCAGCTCACTGCAACCTCCGCCTCACAGGTCAAGCAAGCCTCCTGCCTCAGCCTCCCAAGTAGCTGGGACTACAGGCATGTGCTACCACACCCAGCTAATTTTTGTATTTTTAATAGAGATGGGGTTTCACCATGTTGACCAGGCTAGTCTCAAACTCCTGACCTCAAGTGATCAGCCCGCCTTGGCATCCCAGAGTGCTGGGATTATAGGTGTAAGCCACGGCACCCGGCTCCAAACCCCAATCTTTCTAACATGCCTCACGTGCCTCTTCCTTTTTCAGATTTCATCATGTGGTTATCGTAGGGACACACCTGGCACTAAGCCTATGTAGAAAGCCAGCCAGTGATGTTGGTGGCCTCCCATTAGAGTCCCTGACCCTTGTGCTGGCCTGGACGCTGCAGGAAGCATGGTTCTTTCACGCCTTGCATGGGTTAGAATAGACTAGCCCCTGTGGCAGTAACAAACAACCTCCACACTTCAGTGACTGATTCCTCGCTCAGGCTGCATGTCCATCGTGGATGGTCCTGGGCTATGCTCCCTCCCATCCTCTTCCTCCAGGAAGCAGGCTGACAAGCAGCCAGTATCCAAATGCTGTTGGTGATAGCGGTAGAGAGGAACCGGGAAGCTGGAACCAGCTTGGAAACATCTACCAGGAAGAAATGCTTATCACATGGCTTCCATTTCATTGGCCAGAGCAGGTCCCTGGCAGACCTAGCTCTGAGGAGTGGAGGAGCATACTGGGTAGCAGTTGACTATGGATACCCTGAAAGTTCCCATCAGTGGTGACTTTCAGATGCCCCATGTGTGTTCTTCTGTGCAGAAACGGGGGCTGCTTGCTGGAGAGGGGCCCCTCTAGAAGCTTACTGTCTAGGGAAGGGACAGTCATAACCCAGGAAAGGGATGCCTCCACGTAAGATGACTGTGCATGACACGGGCGAGCACTGGGGTGTGGGTGCGCAGAGTGGTGACACATTCTTCATAGGGAGAACTGCAGAGGCGATAGTGTCTGAGCCCCCAGTTTGAAGCTAAGAAATCCCTAGTGAGGCACAAGAATGGAAGGGCCTCTGCAGTTTGAGGGACAGAGTGTGAAAAGGTGCAGGAATGAGAGCGCGGTGCTGGGTGCAGGCTAGTGGCGTGTGTCTCTGGAGCTCTGGAGACCTATGGAAGTGTGTGGGCAGAGGAGGGGGCTAGAGAGCTGGGCAGGGCCAGGAGTAAGGCTTTCTTCATTGTGGGTGGGATGTCATGTGCCTTTTGCTGTCTTTCAGCTGAGCTATGGCTGTGGAGTTCTGGCCAGTGGGTGTGGTGGGCACTCAGAACTACCTGCCCAGAAACTCCAGCGAAGGCCCCGACCCTGCATGCATCCATCCAGCCTGGGTGGCTCTAGGCTGCATTCACAGGTCTAGACCCTGCTGTTCACCCTGGGGGGATGAATCAGCTTCATTCTTCCTGAACAAAAGCTTCTGGGTTGCCAGGGAGATGTAGGGGCTGCCGCCTGCACTTCCTGGAGCTGCAGTTTGGTGACAGGAAGAGATGGGCACTTAGCAGCCCCAGGATGGGGCTGGGTTGAGCTGCCATCACCACTGTTGTCCTTGTTGAATGGGACTCTATGTGGATCAGAGACAGCAGAGCCTCTGAGTTTGCACAGATTTGGGTTTGAATGTGGCTCTGCCCATTAATGGCTACATGACTTTCAGCCGCAGTCTGCTCTTTTGAAGCCTGTTTCCTCAAACTGAAGTTGGGATGATAATATCCAGCTTGCAGGGGCTGAGATATTTCATGAGGTAACAGTTGGAAGGCATTCCATCTATTCATTTATTTAATACATGTTTGTGGCTGTCTGCTGTGTGGCAAGCACTGTCCCGGGGTGGGAATCCATGCCGTGACGTGATGCTGACATGGCCCTGTGCTGAGTGGTCAGCCTGGCTGGCACCATGCTAGGCACACAGAGAGCCTCACTAAATGGTATTTACTATTGTTCTTGGGGACAGAGACTCTGTGGGGATAGGTGAAGAGTCCTCCCTGGAGTTTGCCTGGTCTTGGGCACTTTGGGAAAGTGGAGGGGCAGGGGGAATCCCACTCCCCAATCCTATAGCCCGGCAGGAAGTAGTAGGCCTCATGAGAAAACCCTGCAGACTTAAGCTCCACGCTGCCTGTGAATCCCAGGGTTCAGGGGACCAAGAGGGTTTCCTAAGCCTGTGAAAGCTGCTACAATTGGTGTTGAGGCCACCACAGAGCCACAGTCCAGAGGCCCAGTGGGCCTTTTCTTATCTCTCTTGCCAGGCCACAGAGTAGGCTCTGGAGAATTGGGCCTGGCAGCTCTGAGCTGGGCTGACACCCATCACTGACCTGGGATCATGGGAGTCAGGCAGGAGGGCCTTCGCCTGGGGAAGAATCCTCTCATCTGACTGTGGTGTGTAAAAGATTGGGAAGCCTTGAACTGATTAGGGCAGGGTTGGGGACAGGTGCAGAGTCTGTGGGCTCCTCAGCTGTGCAGAAGTGCTGGGAATGCATGAAGTGTATTTAGGGGTCAGATGTGGTGGTTTTGGGGTTATTGATGGAATTTGGGGGTAGGCAGGGATGCCGTGTGTGAATGCTCTGGGAAGAGGTTTGGGGGAATTAGAGGGATTTGCTGGAGAAGCCTTCTGATGGTGTCATTGGTGCTGTGCACTGGAGGTTGGTGGTAGGTCCTGAAGTCATAGCTGGGGTCATAGGTGTGTTAGGGAGGCAGTGATGATGGGTTATTAGGAGGGGGAGGATCACTGATGAGGTGGGAGGTGGGAGCAGCGAGGATGGAATGGTGCTGTTGACCAGGGGGTTCTCAGTGACTATCCCAGCAGGTTGGCTTCAACTATAAGCTCTGGTGTGTCTGTTTCTTGTCTCAGTGCTCCAAGGGGAAGTTTAGGCCTGAGCCTCTGAGAGGGTTCACTGGGCAGAGAGACCCTTGGATCTCAGAGGGCTGAAAGGGGAGGTGAATGGTAGGCATGGATGGCAAGGGGCTGAGCCAGGGCAGTGGAGGAGTCAGGGGCGTGGGAGGCTGGGCTGCTGATCAGCGACTTTGCAGATCCTCAGGGTCATTACTTGTTGTTGTTGCCGGGGAAAGTTGCAAAATGAAAATTAACTGTCAGAGAAGATTGATTCGTTTGATGTCTAACCAGGAGCAGCCTTTTATTGCTGTAAAATGTTGATTTCCTCTTGCCTGCAATGACAGGTGAGTGTTAGTGGCACTGAAGGAAGACAGACCCCCGAGCAGAACCTGCAGAAACCATCCCCTGAGGGGCTCAGCCCTCTTCCCTCCATCTTCCATGGCTGCAGGAGCGGGACTCAGTGTCTGATTTTACTCATGGGGCAAGAACACATCTGTGGGTGTGCCAGCCACGTGGCAGGGCTGGTGGTAAGACCTGGGGCTCTGGATTCAGACACATCTGGGTTCACATCCAGGCTGGGCCACTTAATAGCTTTGTGCCTGTGGGCAAGCCTCAGTTTCCTCATCTGTAAAACAGAGGGGTCATACCTAATTAAGTCCTAGATTTTAAAGCACTTGGCACAGTGTCTGGCACAGGTTATCAGGGCTGGGTCCAGTTGAAATGATCAAAAGCTGCTGAAATTCAGAACTTGGGTCACTTTTGCAATAGCAGCATTGGTCAGGGGGCAAGGATGGGACCAAGGCAGGACAAGAGTCAAGAGAGGGACAGTCAGTGAAGTGGAGTGGGAGGTGAGCAAGGACAATTTGTTATAATGGAACCATGCCCGAGGTGGGGGTGTGGGAGCTAACACCTGTGGGGGGCTGGGCAGGGTGGGCCACTCAGCCTGCAGGCCTGGGTCAGGCTAGCTGCTTGGAAAGGATGAGCAGCCCAGGTCTGTCCCTGCCCAGTGTGTGGCCAGGGGAGCCTCTCCATGCCCATGCCACTTGTCTTGCTTAAGTGTGAGTAGGAAGGAAAAGGCTGGGCAAGTGCAGCTCCTGCCTGGCTGATCCAGGTCTCGATGGCAGATAGCTATGTTCAGAGGGTTTCCTGGGGGCGGGGGAGCAACCCTTCTCCTCCAGGAGCCTCTGGTCAGCAAGGAGTGCATTTGGCTGCAGGTTGGAGGGCTTCCTCGTCTGCAGGGCCAAGCAGGAAGGGGCGGCGGTGACACAGACGAGTGAGCGTGTGGGAGGTCTCTGTGTTGGGCGTCTGTCTGCCCGCATGCCTGCCTCTCTGTTGCTCTGAAGGAGGCAGGGGCTGGGCCTGCAGCTGCCTGGGCAGAGCGGCTCCTGCGTGGGACATGGCTCTTCTCTCTGGTTACAGACTCACCACTTCGCTCCCAAAGTACTTCCACAGTCAGCGTGGGGCATCAGGGCAGGCCCTCCTGAGCCAGAGAAGATTGTGGAAACCTTGCTCTCCAGGTGGAGTGGCCAGCCTCTGGGAGGTGTTCAGGGAATGGGCCCCTAGAGAGTGTGGTAACCTCAGGCTGGATCTGAGCTGGGCAAAGCTGTTTCCAAGGGGGGCCCGCATCCAAGGGACCGAGTGGTGGCAGGATTCCTTGCTCTGGGGTAGTCTCCAGCCTGTGGGGCAGAGGTACAGGGTACAAGGGGCAGACAAGATGTAGGGAGGACAGGCAGGAAGTTCCAGCAAGTTTCCGGGCCAAGGAAATGTTGTAGAGAACCAGAGGATGAGAGGAAATAACAAATGAAGGACAAATGAAAAGGCCTTGCCAGGCTCCAGAGTGGGGCGTGTTGAAGTCTGAGGGTCATGGGTCTCACCTGTTGGTGGGGCTGGGCTGTTAGCCCCAGCGTGGGGTGGTATTGCAGCCGCTGGGATGGGAGAGGAGGGTGCCCAGTGGTACCTTCCATGGGTCAGCATGACTGGCAATGAAAATGAGGTGAATGAACATCCCAGGAGCTCATGCTGCCAATAAAACACCTGACCCGGCAGGTGGGCGGCCTGGATTCGGCTCCCAGCTCTGCTGTGAACTTGCAGAGGCTCCTGGACAAGTCCCTTCCCCCTCTGGCTTTCTGTTTCCTCCTCTGCAAAATGTGAGCCAGATATTTTCAAGCAGTGGCACTCTGTTCAAATGAAATACTCCATGAAACCCACTTTTCTTAACTGAGTGAAGAGGGTTGAGGTGGGGAAACCCAGTGGTCTAGCCCATCTCTAAAGCCTACTTCCAAACATAAGCAATTGTCCTAGATTTTAAAGATTAATATTTTAAAGCCAACTCTTATTGAACACTTGATATGTGCCAGGCACTGTTCTAAGCACTTTATAGACAGTGACTCAATTCTCACAACCCGAGGGGGAGGGAGATGGGGAAACAGGCATCAGAGGTCAGGTGACATCTCAAGGTCCCACACCTAGTGAGTGGCACAGCAGGATTCCAGCTCAGGCAGTGGGGTCTAGGATGGAGTTTGCCCTCTGTTCTGGCTGCCTGTAGGTGCTGGAGAAGGGGCGGCTTGTTCTGTAGGAGAAAGGCCACGGCGCCCATGTGACTCAGTGCTGCGCGCTGAAGCCCCGAAGTCAGTGTCTGGGGAACCGTCCCGTTGGGCCTGGATCCCGACTAGCTGGGAGAGGCGGGATCCTCCCCTCTGCCCTCTCTTTTCCCAGCTGGCCCACCGCGGCCCCGCCACTCCAAGGCCAGTTTACAATGGCAACGTTGCGCGCCGTGGCGCGTAAGGAATTGAATGCGGGAGCTTCTCCGCCAGGCACACACTCTAACCACCAAATTTATTTAAGCAGATAAAATGCAGGGGTGTAATGTCAGATTAATGGATAAATAACCGTTCTGGTTTTTGGCACGATGACGGGGAGCTGTAGTGAGAAGCCTCATTATGTGCAGCTCTGCCTCGAAGAACAAGCCTCGTGCTGCAAGCCCAGCACCCGGGCCCCGCGAACAGAGCATTAAATTGTTGGGAATGGCTCCCCTTCACTCGCAGAACAAAGATGTTTTCTCCAGAATAAATTGACTCCCTCCCAGCGCGCTGAGCCCTGGTTTCCCACAAACGCAGCCTATGCTCTCGGGGGAGGGAGGGCGGGCAGTGCGGCCCTGGGAACGCCGCGCAGGGAGCTTCCTGCGGGGGCGGGCTCGGGGCCGGGCTCGGGGCTTCTGGCTCCTGGGCTCTCTGTCGCCAAGCCTCCGTTGTAAAGGAGCAAACCTTTAGTTGTGTGGACAACGCGGAAGTCTGGCGGAATCGGGGTTGGAATTAGGGTGCGCCGAGGCAGTGTTCCTTGGTTAGGGCTTTGCGTTTCGTGTCCCTAGGTTTGCATGTCGTTGGCCAGCTGGGTAATCTTCAGGCAAGTTACTTAACCTCTCTTAGCTCAGTTTAACAGTGAAGTGGGGAAGGGGTCCTTCCTAACAGGGCTGTGGTCCAGAACACCCTAATAAGAGAACGCTTGGGGGTGGAGCCACGTTCCCTTACTCCAGAAGGCGCCCTCCGCTCTGACACTCTGCCAGCATGCATGCCCAAGATGGTGTGGTGGGGTGTGGGGACCCAGAGGCTGCTGTCCCGCTGGGCCTAGACCCTGTAGCATGGACCAGGGGGCCGAACTGAAGGACTCAAGCTCTTTGAGGTGGGTGGGGGAATAAAGCCTCCCTTCCTGGGTGCCCAAGGTCTGGCCAGTGCCTAGTGAGCCCCTGGCTGGGTGGGATCAGAATCTCAGTGCAGAGCTTGGCTTTGCTCTGGGCCAAATTTAAAGACAGCCATTGCCTCCCGGAGCCACTGTGCTTGGTTTCTGCCTGGCTTCCTGGGCTCAGTAGGAGCAGAGCTCCAAGAGACTGCTGAGGGGCAGACTAACTGCTTTCAGATCAGCGCCCTTCTTCCCCTCCTTCCTCCTCCTTCTGGAAGGTGACTTGCACAGTGTAAAGAGCGCAGGCTTTGGGGCCAGATTCACCACTGTCACCTCCTCCTGGCTGTGTTACGCTGGACACACTGCTTCACCTATCCATGCCTCAGTTTTCACCTGCAGATGCCAGAATAATACTTTCACTTTGTAAGACTGGCATGAAGAGTGAAGCTCCTGGGCTGATGTCTGGCACAGAACTCTTTGGGCCCCAGTGTTCTGTAACAAATGCTTATGGAGCACATACTTGGTGCCAGGCTCTGAGATACAATGGTAAGCAGTGCAGCCATGTGTGACCTCCAGGGGTTGACTGGGGAGCAGGATGACCTGGATGCTGGTGGCTGCCTGGATGTGTATGTGTGTGTGCCACCTCCATGCACCTGCTCAGGTGAGAGTGGGTGACCTGGGGTTTTGCTGCATCCATCAGGATCTGGCCTTTGGGATGGTGGGTTGCCTCTGCCTTGCGCTGCCTTTTCCTTGTCCTTTTGGCCTTGCTCCTTCTTACCTGCTCCACCCCAGTTTCTCACTGACCTAACCAAGAGGTTGGAAAAGGAAAACGCCCCTGGCTTGGGGCAGGACTGTGGGTCCCAGCAGTTTGTGGAGCACCTCCTTCCCAGTGCATTGGGTGCTCTCCAGGCACTGGGGGCCCCGGTGAGCAAAGTAGATGAGGTCTCTGTCCTTGTGGTGCTTGCAGTCTTCTGAGTACTGACAGCTACTGAGCATTTGCCCAGTGCCAGGCTCTGTGCTAAGTGCTTTTCCCATCTGATCCTCACTATGCGATGGATAATCTGTGGCCGGCTTTGAACCCCACCCCTTTGTCATGCCGGCAGGTCCTGGGGGCCCTTTTTCTCCCCCAGGGGTCCTGCAGGCCCTGCCAGGATAGAGCTCTGGACTCAGATAGGGGTAGCTTTGAGCTTGGTTCTGTCCTGTTATTTTGCAAGTCACATAACTTGTGTAAGCCTCAGTTTCCTCATCCACAAAATTGGGATAATCATAGTACCACCTCGCAGGGTTGTGAGGAGGAAGCACCAAGCATAGAACCTGGGTTACTGCCGGAGCCCAAGCCCTCGTGGCTGGATGTTTTGCTCCCTGTGGAGTGGGCACAGAGGCTTCTCCGGGCTTTGCAGCCCCCACCCAGCTTTTTCTTTGGTTTGAGGAATGTGTGTTTAGGAGGCTAGGAGAAGGCTTTCCAGGCAGCGCTCCTTCTCCCACGTGCTGGGTCTTTGTTTAGCTCCAAATTAAAGCTAAAGCAGAAAGCACAAAACATTTCCTCCATCGCAGGTGAAGGAACCGTCTGTCTTATCAGCTCTGGAGCCGGGTGGTTTGGCGTGCATTTGCTGGTAATTGTGGAGTCTGAATGAGGGGGTCTCTCTGGGGGCCATGCTTTCCATCACTGTCCGTGTCTGTTATCATGATTATCTCATTCCCAACCAGGCTCAAGGGAAGTGGGGCTGGGTGAGGATTTTCCATTTTCCGGAGGCTCACATCCCATCTCCGCCTGCTTACTCATTCCGATTGCCCGGCTCTTAACAGCTCTCCCTGGGCTCTGCCTTGATCCTTCTAGGATGTCATCTGCTACTGGTGTCTATTCCAGTTCTGTCTGCATCTCTATGAAGACCGGGAGCTCCTGAAGGTCCTGCTAGAGTCCAGGGATTATTGATGAAGCTCTAACCAGGAAGAGAGAGTGGGACACATGGTGGGGGTGGTGGGAGGACTGAAGTTCTTAGAGGCAGATCTGGCTTGTAAATCTAGCTTTGTCACTTGCTGTGTGACCTATGAAAAGTTACCTAAGTTCTCTGAGCCTGGCTTTCCTGATTTCTAAAATGAAGGTGTTACTGGTACGTGCTGTTTGTAAGGATTGGTGTAAGTATTATCATGAAGTAATATCCACAGTGTGTAGCTGAGTGCCTGGCATCGAATCAGTGCTTTGCAGTGCTGGCCCAAAAGTGGCAGGAAGCCATATGGGTGGTACTCAGATTTCCCTGTTGAAGGTAGAACAGAGAACAAGGTGCAGGAGAGGAAGGCTGGTTGTTGCCCTGACCACTCCACACAGGTGTTCCATGGAGTGGGGGCAGGCTCACTGTTATCTCAGTACCAGCTAGAGACCAGTTCACACTAACCAAACTCATAAGAGACTGATGTTTGGCTGAACACAAGCCAGCATATTAATTCACAAGGAGAAACCACTGCCTGGGCTCTCATGTGCTTCCCCAGTGAGAAATCCTAGTGAGCCAGGTGACTAGGTGCTTCCCACTGGATGGAGTGACCTGCAGAGGGACTGCTGGTGGGTCTCAGGGGCTTCTTGATCACTATATAGAGCCTGCTATGGTAGAGGTCAGAGTGTGGCCTCTATCTGGCCTCTTCCTCTCGGTTCACTTTCCTTACTGGACTCTCCTCCCTTTGCCTTCTGCTGTCTTTCCTCCCCTGCCCCTGCCATTTAT